TCACTCCAATCAGTGGAGCTCCAAGTAAGTGTCAGGGTCTGCCTGTGTGGATCTGATCCCGGGTTTGCACATGTAACACAATCCATTCCCTCACCACTGAAATACAGGCACATCGGAGGTGGAACACGACAGCTTTTTAACAGCAACACTAAAGCGCGGTTTAGAAGGATTAGTGAAGATGAGAATTTTAGGCATGGCAGGATGCAATAACCTAGACCAGAATTCGGCCTGGAAAGCAATGCACTTACACTGGGGTCAAACCAGAGCAACTGATGAATTAGACCCCTTCTGTTTATTTTCATTTTTGTGCGCAATGGAGCCCTTTCAACATGCTGTGCATTGTGCTGCTATTTCACTGTGTTTTCCCCAGAATACCGACACCGCTGACATTCCTTCTGGGAGTCAGTTCACAACAGACTGAGAGCAGCCTTAGGGAGGCCAGGATCATTATCCCCATTTTATAAATGGGGAAACTGAGGCAGAGTCATTAGCTAATTTGCCCAAGACCACCCAGCAGGTCAGCAGTAGAGTGAAGACTAGAACCCAGCTCTCCTGAGTCCCAGTCCTCTGACCTATCCACCAGTTTACCTGAGAATAATGGAACAGTAGGAACAATGCATAGGAATTTTGCAAATAAGCCTGTGCCAGAAATGCACTTACAATCTGGGAGTTGAGCACTTATGAAATTTAAGGTGAAATCCTGGCCCCAGTGAAGTCAGTGGGAGTTTTGTCCTTGACTTCAGTGGGGTCAGAATTTCACCCTTGAACTTTAATTCTAATAAGAAAAAGACTTAGCACTGACTTCGCGGGTTCATAAAAGTTCTGCCAATCAAGCATTCCTGTATTTTTATTTCCTTAGATCATAATAAAATAATTTGTTAGCAGGGATGATCTTTCTTTTCTTTCATTTTTACTGCTTGTAATGTTGCTCTGGAGCTGCTCATGGAACCTGGAGCTTTTCAGACAACTTTATTCATAAAATCAATACATCATTTTGTGAGACTAACTTTTCTCTCTGAGGCTCAAATTAAAAACCAAACAATACTTGCTTTTTGGTGACCTAAAATCCCGAGGCTGACATCTCAGAAAACAGTCTGGAACTTGTAATAATACCCAGTGCTTATACAGGGCTTTTCACTCTTGCAGCTCAAAACCCTTTATAAAGAAAAGTATTATCCTCAATGTACAAGCGCGGAAACTGGGGCCCAGAGAGGTAAAGTGACTTGGCTCAGTTCAGTCCGTGACAGAATGCAGGAGTCCTGTCTCCCAGTTCTGTGCTCTGCCGACTGGGCCCCACCCTGATAAGACTGTGGGATTTGTCTTTACTTTCTTATGTGAGGACAAAACCCCAAAAGCAACAGGGGAAAATGCTGCCTGAAGCCTGAATTTGGAAAAATTGAGGTTTTCATTAATTATTATTATTACTGCCCACTGTTCTGGAGTGCGGCTCCTTTTCCCCCTAATTACACAAAGGATTAAATCCTTCCTCACAGGCACACATAAAACCTTAAAACTCCTACCTTTGCTTGTATTGTGCAGGGTGTGGAAGTGCTTGCCCAGACTCGCTCCTTAGGGTCAAGATGTAAGGCCTAGGACGAAACCCATAGAGGGCAGTATATTTTGGGTACCTCATCTCCTTCCTCCTCAGACAGTGATTTCCAGAGGGTTAGCCTCTGTTTTTCTGTTGCCTGCTGCTCTTTGAACAGCTTGGGGCTGAGTGTACTGGGAGTGGAGGGGAAAGCGGTAAAGAAGTAGGGAGACAGCAAAAAACTATTGCTCTCTTTTCCTGCTGCCCTTTTGACAAACAGGTGGCTCCCTTGTGCCTCTGCCTTTCTAATTAAAAGGACCAGTGTATGTGCACATCGTGCCAGGAGAAAGCTGGATACAAACAAGCAGCTTGGCAGGACGATGCAGGGATCGGAAGAGATAGAATCATAGAATCATAGAATATCAGGGTTGGAAGGGACCCCTGAAGGTCATCTAGTCCAACCCCCTGCTCGAAGCAGGACCAATTCCCAGTTAATGGATGGCTCTGTGTGTAGAAGACCCATGTCACGTTCATATCAATAACCCACCCCCAACATGTGTTCCCATGTGAGGATTTCCTCATATTTCTGGCTGAGCGAAAGAGCACGGACACCCTGCCCGGCCTCTTTCCCAGCCAGCCCTGGGGACGGGGCAGCGCCCAGCGGACTCGGTGGCGTGTCCGAACACGTGCTGTGCGTCAGCTGAACCTGCAGCAGATGCAGGTGTAGGCACAGGACCAGCGAGAGCCCTGCAGATACGGCCGGGCAGCATTACCTCGCCTCTGCCTGGGGTGACACCGTGATACCCCCCCCCCCCCCACCGGCCCAAGATTCGGGCCTTTGTCTTATATTTGCAACTATCCTCCCCATACACACACACAAAAAAAGTCCTGATTTTTCACACTTGCTACCTGGTCCCCCTACCTCTGCCCCCCAGCTCTGAGCCCCCTGTGCACGGGGGGGCTGGGCACCAGGGGTGCCCCCTTGCACTGCAGGCTGAGCCCCCTGTGCACGGGGGGGCTGGGCACCAGGGGTGCCCCCTTTGCACTGCAGACTGAGCCCCCTGTGCACGGGGGGCCTGGGTACCAGGGGTGACCCCCTTGCACTGCAGACTGAGCCCCTGTGCACGGGGGCTGGGTACCAGGGGTGACCCCCTTGCACTGCAGACTGAGTCCCCTGTGCACGGGGGGCGGGGCACCAGGGGTGCCCCCTTGCACTGCAGGCTGAGCCCCCTTTGCACCGGGGGTCGGGACGGGGCACCAGGGGTGCCCCCCTTGCACTGCAGGCTGAGCCCCCTGTGCACGGGGGGGCGGGGCACCAGGGGTGCCCCCCTTGCACTGCAGGCTGAGCCCCCTTTGCACGGGGGGGCGGGGCACCAGGGGTGCCCCCCTTGCACTGCAGGCTGGGCCCCCTGTGCACGGGGGGGCGGGGCACCAGGGGTGCCCCCTTTGCACTGCAGGCTGAGCCCCCTGTGCACGGGGGGGCGGGGCACCAGGGGTGCCCCCCTTGCACTGCAGGCTGAGCCCCCTGTGCACGGGGGGGCGGGGCACCAGGGGTGCCCCCCTTGCACTGCAGGCTGAGCCCCCTTTGCACGGGGGGGCGGGGCACCAGGGGTGCCCCCCTTGCACTGCAGGCTGGGCGGGGGGGGGGCTGGAGCGGCCCGGCCCCGCCCGGGGGAAGGAGGGGGAGGGGCAGGGCACCAGCTGCTGCGGCAGGCGGGGGGAGGGGCGGTGCCAGGACTCTCCCCCCCCCCCCGGAGCTGGGCGCACGGTGATGACGTCAACGTGACCTTTCAACTCCCCCGTGTGTGGGGTTTTTTTGTTTTTTTTTTTGGGAGGCCCAACATGGCCGCTGTCTCGAGCGGCCTCGGGCCCGGCCTGGGCGGCTCGGCGGGGGCTGGCAGGCTCGCCCGGCTCGGCTCGGCCTGGCCCGGCCCGGCAGGCCGCTGCCGCCCCGCAGCAGCAGGCCCCGGCGCGGCTGGGGGCCGAGCGCTGTCCCGGCGCGGGGGCCCAGGGCGGCCGGCTGGGTGCGGGCCCTGCCCGGGGCTGGGCTGGCCGCCGAGGGGCTGCGCGCAGCGCCGAGCACACGCGGCTGGGGGCCGGGCCGCCCCCCTGGGCCAAGGATCCGCACAAACACCCCCCACCCCCGCCCCGCCCGGGGCTGTCCCGGGGCCACGCTGGGGTCCTGCCCTTGGCCCGGCCCCCCCAGGGACACGCCAGGATCAGGCCCGGGATAAGCGAGGGTCTGCAGTCCGTTGCCCCAGTGAGACCCCTGGGGGGGGGGGGATTAGCAGGCCTCCTTCGCCGTGAGCCGCCCTGCGGAATTGGGGGCAGGGGGATGGGATGGCGGACCCCAGCCCTTTTTATCCTGGTTATTTCACCCCGAAAGGGGCTGTGATGAGGCATTTCTCCTGAGCTGGCAGCTCGGCTAGAGGAGCGATCTGGGGAAATATGTCGGTCACAAGAGCCTGGGAGGCAAATCGCCCTCCTGGGTGTTCAGTGTCACCGAGCCTGGCTAATGGGCTAGGGGCACCAAGCATCCTCCAGGGGGGAAATGGAAGAACATCCCATATGCCAGCCTGCTCCTACCTCCCCCTTTGGTGGCTGCAGATTGTGTGCCCGGGCAGGTCAGGTTACCCACCTTTTTCATAGATCTTGCCATGGCAGGAGGCAGGATCTTGATCGAACAACTGCTCTGCTATTAGCTATTAACTCATTTCACACCAACCCCTTATCCTATACAAAGACAGACCCAGGCGTGAAGGTTTTTTTTTTGTTCCAGAAGACAAGCCTGTTTAGGGATTGTAATCACCATGGAAATTGGATTTCATTTATATTTGTTTATACCCACACGTATGTCTTCGACACTGATACCTATCTACTGTGCAAACCTTTCTGATACACCGGTAAACCTTTCAGTCCCTACCTCGTTTATTTAATACCCAGATTTGTTTCTGGAAGCCCCGGGTCTGGTAGCAGAGCAATTCCCAATAAAATAAGTCATTTAGAAGCTTGACATCACAGCCTCTTCTGTTCTGCAAACCAGGCTTTGCCCCGTGGAGATGTGGATAAAACTGCCTTGAGTCGCCATTGCTGGACCCATAATGAGTAAATCCAATGAGCGTTCTCTTCCCAACCCTGACAAGTTGGATGAGTTGCCCCTGGGTCTTTCTGCTGGGCTTTACAATTGCTAAATAGGGTTAAAAAATAAAACAATACACATATCAGCTACCTCACCTCTGCTGTGTGTGTGATGCCTTCGTAAACCTGTGTTGTTTTCTTGGAATGACTCTCAGACCCACCAGCTCTGTGTAGCCTATCCATTTCTTTTTCTTTCTTTTCTTCCTCCTTCCTTGTGATGATTTGTGAGACCAGAATGACTTTGATTTCAGCAAGTTTGCTGTTTATTCACGTCACAAGTTTGACAGCTTTACACCAAATCAGATTGCTGGGATTCAAGAAAGCTCTCAGGCGTCACTGGAAGCTCCTTTAGATTAGAACTCGCCTCCCCTGTCTTTTCCCCCTTCAGAGCCAATTAAAGCTCGCTGGGGCTTTAAGAGGAAACGTGCTCCCAAGCCCTGCATCTCCTTCTGCCACTAAAATGGTAAGTGCTCTTTGGATCTCTCTCGACCTGAAGTCAGAGGGGGAAAGCTGGTATTTTGTCTTGAGGGTTTGCAATGTATTTTGTGCCCTGTATAAGATTGGTAGTGAGGAAGCTTACCCTGTACCTGGAAACCCATAGCTGTGGGGGCTCATTTTTGAGGATCTAAGCTTTGTCATTGCCTTGCAAAGACTTCTCACTTGCAGCAGGTTTGGCTTATCTGGGGGAGAGCCACACATTTCCAGAAACGAACCCAGACTTTTCCTGATCAGTGGGACCATTGCAAATTTGCAGAGACTGGGCACCGACTGGATGTGATTCTCCTAACTTTGTAAAAAGAAAAGGAGGACTTGTGGCACCTTAGAGACTAACCAATTTATTTGAGCATAAGCTTTCGTGAGCTACAGCTCATCCGATGAAGTGAGCTGTAGCCCACAAAAGCTCATGCTCAAATAAACTGGTCAGTCTCTAAGGTGCCACAAGTCCTCCTTTTCTTTTTGCGAATACAGACTAACACGGCTGTTACTCTGAATCCTAACTTTGTGTAGACGGTTGGAAGACTTTAATAGCCAATGACTCTCAAGATAGGTCTGGATCGCTTGTTCGTTTTAAACAAACTAGTGTTTCCAAGCGAATTGAAGCGAATGAGTGTCGCTCTCTCACATACCTTTGCTTGGTGCCTTGATGCTGGAGCAGGTGTGTGCTAGAACTGAGGAGGTGGTGACTCACCGCGAGGTACTTCGAGGTAGCAGCCTAAGGCTGTTTAAAGCCCAGGAGGGAGTGCATTCGCTCTGATTTCTTCAGAGGTGACCCTGCGTGTTAATATGCTGGAGGAAGGGATCGATGGGCGGACAGGGAATCACTCGGCGAACTGGAGGCGAAGCTGTGGATGGGAATATACGTGTAGGCTAGCAGGCTAGTAGGATCGCAGCATCTAGTGACGGTGGTTTGGGCTACACGGCTGGGTCGCACTCCCTCTGCCTCCGCAGCAGGCTGCCTGGCGGCTGTGGGCGAACCTTCGCCGTTGGCTGCAGCGTGGGTCTTCCCAAGTGTCAGAGCCCGGGCCCCTTTGAGCCTGGGATATCTGGGGGAGAATCACCCTGGAGGATCAGCGGCTCGGGTGGGAGGAGAGAGCAGAGGGAGACACCCCAGGGCACGGCCAGCCGCCGTCGCTGCAGTGTCTGGGGAGCTGTGGGTTGGGCGGAGAGGTGGGACGGAGGTTTGACCGAGCTCAGGAGCACAGCAGGGAGCTGGGGGAACAGGTTTGAGGCGCTGACTAAAGATGCTCGCAGCTCATGGTTTTGCCACCTCTAAGCACCTCTCTCCTATCGGGGCCTGGTGGCTGCGACACTGTTTAATCGGAAACCCCCGGCAGTGGGACCCGGAAAACCCTTCCTCCACCTGGGAAAGGTCTCCTGCCTTTGAGAAGCCAGCGCGTGGCTGAGCCTCTGGCCTCCCTCCTGGTTTAAAACTCGGTTTGACTGCCGGGGATGACCCCAGTGGGACAGGGGGATCGAGCCCCAGCCCAGACAGCGGGCTGCTCAGCACTTGGTTTTACACACGCCTCTAATTTCTCCTGTCTCTGCCTTTCCCCCTCCCCGCGCCCTTGTGTTCACTTCACAGAGCACCATTCTCTCTTGCCAAGATCCGTACTTTGTAGGGGGCCCGGGCCACGATTGCCCCTATTCCGACTCAACGTCAGCAGCCAGTGTTGATGTTTCCAAGGAGACTTGGGTTTCTTTCTGGGCTTCTGGTCTCCTGGACGACACCAGCGAGAACCAACAAGAAGGACAGGCCCCGGGTAGGTTCTGCTGCTCCTTGGCCGCCGGGAGCTTGCAGCCGAAGATGCCGGGGTGAATGAATGCGCCAGCCGGAGCGGAGCGGATAACGCTTTCGCTTCTGCGCTGCTGGGGAAGGAAGGGCAGGTCCCCACCTTTGAGCGCTCCCTGGATCGTGCGCCTGGAGGGAGGGGACATGAAGTGCGAGCTGGAGACCGTGCCCCGGCCCGTGCGTAGCGCTCCCGGCTCCGCCGCCCAGAGCCGGGGGCTTTGACTCAGGAGCACCCTGGAGAGGGGGCGCTGAGCCGCTCCTCCGTGCTCTCCTCCGAGCTCGTTCCCGGAGCCCAGTCGCTTTGCAGCGTTGGGGCAGCGTTCACATGGGCCGCCCTGGGGCCCGGCCGATCCCCTTCCGCGGGCTGCCCCCTCCCAGCGCGCGGGTGGCGACTCCAGCGCCCTGTCTACACGGCAGCTTCCCCTGGCGCAGCGGGGAAGAGCCGGTCCGGCTTTTGCTGGGGAGCTGCAGCCCCGCGGGGTGGCTAGCGGGGCTGACTCTGCGGGCGGAGCCGGCGGGGACACGGGCCCTCACGGCTACTTCGCAGGCAGCTCCCGGGGGATGTTCTCAAGGTCTCCGCGCAGAACCAGCTTCTGTTTGTCTTTTCCGGAGAGACAGGATCCCCCCAGGTGACGGCACTGGAGGGGGACTCGGGAGATTTCAGTTCCCAGGTCTGCCAGAGACTCCCTGTAAGGCCTGGGGCACGTCACTGAGTCTCTGGGACCCACATCCTCAAAGGCAGTTCAGTGCCTAACTCCCATGGGAATAATGGGAATTAGGCACCTAAGAGCCTTTGAGGATTTGGGCATCTGTGCCTCCGTTTATGCATCTGTAAAATGGGGATTGCAATCCTTCCTTTCCCCCACCCTTTGTCTGTCTGGGTTAGTTAAGCTGCAAGCTCTGTGAGGCAGAGACTGTCTCTCACTCTGTTTTTATACAGCACCTAGCACACTGTGACCCTGATCTCATCTGAGGCCCATGGATGCTACCATAATAAAACCCAGTACTACTAATCATTATAATAATTATACACTCTGGGCCATAGTTTTGATTTTAGCAGAGTTGTACAACAAAGGAGGGATTATATGACCATGCTTCCTGCAGACAGGCTTGGGTACTGCACTGCAGTTTTCCCCTGGGGAGGGGGTGAGATAAAGAACAAACCCCAGGTGAGGTTATGATAGTCATGTTGCCTACTGTCCACACCACTGGAAAGCTCTCAGAGCCTACAGTGTTGGGGTGCCGCATGACCCTGTGTAGAATAGAAAGTTCAGTCCGTAGCGCATCAGGCTTTCAATCAGAGAGGTCCTGGTTCGAGGCCCTGCAGTCCCCTCCGTGGCAGGAAGGTTAGCTCGTTTCATCTCTAGCTTCCATGATTACCCATGATCTGAAATGGTGTTGGGAACTCACCTCTTGTACCCAGCACTTTGTATCCATAGATCTCATAGCCCCTTTTGAAGATGGGGGGAAACTGAGATAGAGAGTGAAGTGACTTGCCCAGGTCACAGCAGAGCCCAGAATGGAACCCAGGCGTCCTGAGTCCTAGTACAATGCCCTGGCCACTGGCCTAGGTTTCCTCACAAATAACTTTCCCAAGCTTTGGTTCCTCTTGTAAAGAAGAAGAATTTTAAACAAAGAATAAAGAGCACAAGGAAAAATACCCGCCAGATGCCAAAGGTGTCTTATAACAAACTCGGATGATTTACTAATTTATTATCCGTTTTTAAAGGACCACTCTTTGCTGCTTATCAAGCGGTACAATTTTTCCTTGATTCAAATGAAGTAAACAAGAGGGATTAAAATAAACATGATTGTAATTTTACGCTTGGTTTGGAAAATGTGGTTTTCGGTTTAATCACTTTGATGTCTGTTTTTGTCCAGACCAGTTCTGTGGCTTGGGTTTTACTATTCCAGATGACACGTGGCAAGGAGATCAGCTGTCCTCCCAGCTCTACAGAAACAAACAGGTAACATATCAAACAACTCACACACTGGAGAATGGAACCTTGATTTACAGCTTTAAAATGTTCTTCCACCCAGCATCCCTAGAATTTCATTTTACAGTTAGCTAAAGCTCTGGGTCAGTAGATTGTGTTCATAAATCTGTTTCTCTGTGCAGTGAGTATGGAAAACATTGGCAGCCTGAAATCTTTTATTTTTTCTCCTTCCTTATGTTGATTTATGAAACTAGAATTACTTCAGTTAGCAGCAGCGTTGCTGTCTGCCCATGTCACAAGTCCAGCAGCTTCATACCTGATCAGATTGCTGGCTTCCACCAAAAAAGCAGAGGCATCACTGGGAACTGCTTTAGGGTCTGAGGCTGCAAAGACTTACACTCGCGCGTAAGGTTGCTCACGTGACTAGTTCTGTTGACTGCAGTGGGGGGACCCACTTGAGCAAAGTTAGTCACATGCATGAGTCTTCGCAGGCTCAAGCACCAAGATTAGATGTCCTCTCTAGAGCTCTTTTCCCTTTTCCATGAGTGCTAATAAGCAGCAGGAGAGCCAGTGAACTCTCCAAGCTAAGCAGTTCCCATTGTAGCTGCTTGTACCTAGCTCAATATTTAGATCACAACAGAGTGACCCTGAACCAAAACACTTGGGGTGACATCTTGGCCCCACTGAAGTCAATGGAAGTTTGGCCATTGACTTCAATGCAGCCAGGATTTCACCCTAGGTCCAAATAGCCAAAAACTTCCTTTTCTTGCCCATTATCTGTCTTGTCTATTTAGAACATAATCTCTTTTGGGGAGAGATGTCTGCCACTGTATATATGTCCTGGACATGGCACAGTGGGGCTCCAACTTCATTTGAGACTTGTAGGGTATGCCTGTTTTGCAGCAGGGAGCGAGCCTCCAGCTCTCCTTGGCCTAGATTCATGCCAGCGCTCCTTGGCCTAGCACGCTAAAATTAGCAGTGTGAACTGTTGCATCATGGGCAGCAGTGAAGAACATAAGAACAGCCACACGGGATCAGACCAAAGGACCATCCTGATCAGTGGGCTGGGGCACATGACTTACGAAGAGAGGCTGAGGGAACTGGGGTTATTTAGTCTGCAGAAGAGAAGAGTGAGGGGGGTTTTGATAGCAGCCTTCAACTACCTGAAGTGGGGTTACAAAGAGGATGGAGCTCGGCTGTTCTCAGTGGTGGCAGATGACAGAACAAGGAGAAATGGTCTCAAGTTGCAGCAGGGGAGGTCTAGGTTGGACACTAGGATTCACTGTTTCACGAGGAGGATGGTGAAGCACTGGAACAGGTTCCCTAGGAGGTGGTGGAATCTCCTTCCTTAGAAGTTTTTAAGATCAGGCTTGACAAAGCCCTGGCTGGGATGATTTAGTTAGTGTTGGTCCTGCTTTGAGCAGGGGATTGGACTAGATGACCTCCTGAAGTCTCTTCCAACTCTAAGATTCTATGATCTTTCCCAATATCCTGTCTTCCGACAGTGGCCAATGCCAGGTGCCCCAGAGGGAATGAACAGAACAGGTAATCATCAAGTGATCCATATCCCTGTTGCTCATTCCCAACTTCTGGCAAACAGGCTAAGGACACCATCGCTGTCCATTCTGGCTAATAGCCATTGATGGACCTATCCTCCATGAACTTATCTAGTTCTTTTTTGAACCCTGTTATAGTCTTGGCCTTCACAACATCCTCTGGCAAGGAGTTCCACAGGTTGTGTAAAGAAATACTCCCTTTTATTTGTTTTAAACCAGCTGCCTTTTAATTTGGTGACCCCTAGTTCTTGTGTTATGAGAAGGAGTAAAGAACACTTCCTTATTTACTTTCTCCACACCAGTCACGATTTTATAGACCTCTATCATATCCCCCCCATATCCTAGCTGAAAAATCCCAATTTTATTAATCTCTCCTCATACGGAAGCTGTTCCATACCCCTAATCATTTTTGTTGCCCTTTTCTGAACCTTTTCCAATTCCAATAGATCTTTTTTGAGATGGGGTGATCATATCTGCACGCAGTATTCAAGATGTGAGCGTGCCATGGATTTATATACAGCTCAATCCTCTAATTTAAATAATGACACCTGGATTTAAATTTTTCAGCCTGCACCCATGTCTAGTTTATAATCTGCTCTCTTGCCCCTCCTTTTCTCTCTAGCAACGTCTAGGTTAGTGAGCAAGGGATCCAGAGGGAAGCTTAAGTGCTCTTTGAAACGTAGAAGGAAGAAAACTGACAGCATTGTGAGTGAGAAAATCTCTGTGTATTTAAAGGGCTGTTTGCAGTTCATTTCCCTGCAGACCTCTATTATTCCTCTGCGGTTACAATTTTTCAAAATAATCTCTTCAAACATTTGCTAAAGAATAGGAGAAGTCAAATTTGAGACGTGAACAGTCATGCCACTTATCTTTACAGGGACAAGGGGTTCTTGAGGATTGAATTCACAAAGCAAACACCAAAATCATCACATCCCGCCAGGCCATAGAGCAGGGAATTTATCAGGTTACAGAGTCAAGAGAGCTAAGAAATGTCTATTCATCGATATCTGTATTTCACAGCTTCAAGACACCTTGCTACAGAAGGAAGAGGAACTTGCCAGGTTACATGAAGAAAATAACAACCTCCGACAATACCTGAATTCTGCCGTGGTTCAGTGTTTGGAAGACAAGGCAAAGGTACCGTGTTCAAACCTGCCATGAAAAAGTGTGTCTGTGAGAGAGAAGAGAGTGAAGCATTTAGGTGAAATGCCTAAAACGCAAATGCAAATAAACAGGTGTAAAAGGCCACATTGTGGGGAGGTAGCGTGCAAGAGGAAAGGCCCCTCTAACGCTCACCAGATTGGTGACTATGCACTAACCGATAGTGTGTGTCGTCGTGGTCGGCCTTGCCTATGTAGACAGGGTTAAGCCATGTGACAGCCCTGATCTTTAGCATTTATAGCTGATTTGATTGATGATGCTTTGAGAGAGAGGTTTATAAGAAGCAATGGACTAACCCTAATCCCCTCAAACCGATGACCAGAACTCATTACACTGAAAGGATACCAAAAAGTAAGGCATTTAGCATTTATCAGCTTCGGAGTCAATAAAGCAGCTGTTCAGAGAGCAGAAGCACAAACCTGGGATTGGGTAACGGGGGGCATTCTGTTCTCAGCTCTGCTGCTGACTTGCCCTTGTCCTTGGGCAAGTCACTTAGCCTTTGGTGCCTCGGCCCCACCAGTTGCAGAATGAGAATGCTAATAGCTTAGCGGCCACCCTGGGGCCATCGGGGGGGTTTATAAATATTTGTCAGGCTCTTTGGGATGCTGAGATTGACGGTGCTATGGAGGGGCTGAGCACTGTCGCTAAGGATGGGCTCACTCCTTACTCAGGCAAAGTAAGTGGTACCACAGGGCATGTGGCATGAGTGAAAACTGAGATCCTTGACAGAGGATGTCAAAAGGATAAGTGCAGAGGGAGTCTCTGAGATGCTCTCCTCACCTGAATTGCCCTAAGGGTGTGAGGGCTTGCCCCTTCAACCCATCCCCCTCCCCACTTGCCCCCACACACAGTGGATCCCAGGGCTATCTGCGCCGAGGCTCGCTCTGTGCTCCCCAGCCCACCTCCTACTCACTGGGAACCATGGGAGGCATATGCATGTTCCCCTCCACCCAGCCCTGGATCTCTGGAATCAGCATATCATGGGAGGTGACTGAGCCCCCGGGGCCAGATCAGATCCTGCTGGCAGCGTCGGTGTTGAGGACGGCTATACAGTGCAGGAGCTTTCATTTCATGGCTTACTGAGAGAAAAAGCAAACAAAGCTCCGGCTATGTTGACACTGTCGTATTCTTATCTCGTAGGAGTTTGGGCTGTTTCCAGAGACTGTACAGCACAAAATAATTAGTGCCATCCGCGTTTGCTAACTGAAAATGAGCTCCGGGTAAACTGTGTGCTTTATAAGAACGATGTTAGGCACCTGTTCAGATAAAGTCTGTGGCCAGAAACATGTTGCTTCTGGGGCTCTGGAGGATCAGCTTTTAATCTGCATGCTATTCCCTGTTCTCTTGTGTAGAAACTACTGCTGCACAGTGGCCAGAAGAAACATGCAATTCTCAAAAGTGGCAAGAGGAAATTTAAAGAGGACAGTTACCTGGCCCCTCGAGAGACTCCTAACCCCTCAAAAGCCAGGAGGAACCTACTCAGTGATTTTACTGCCTGCGAAGAACAAGCTACTCCGCCCGTGGATACCTGGGTACTGCAAACCCTGGGACTAAAAGATATCAACACTATCGATGAGTCTTTATCAGCTAACTACAGTGCCCTGTCCTCTGAGCTTGGAAAAAGCTCATGCTGCCAGAGCCATGGAGAGGCAATGGACTACTGTAATGATGAGGACCCAATAGCTGCTTATGGCTGTGATCAGATGACTCCTATAACCAGCACTGCCAGCCCTGGGAAGCAGGATTTACCCTACATCCAGCCACTTTCTTCAGCACCATATGCTTCCTTGACCCTGCCCAGCGATGCCCCTTTCCCACCTTACGGATTGCCTTACTTCGCCAATGACGTGTCACCAAACAAAACCGATGTGGCCTTTACAACCTCCCTGAGCCCCCACCGCAACGTCAAAACACACACCTTCCACCAGGGACAGGTCTTCGTGCGCCGAGAGGAGGACGGAGGCTGGAAATTCACCTGGGTCCCCAAGCAATCCGAGTGACTCCCCCTTGCCCCCACTTCTGAGCACTGCCATCAGTGACATGTTTACAAACACTTACAACTGCAGAAACCTTTCTTGCACTTAAGATTGATGCTGAGAACAGAAGCAACATCCCCTACAGGCTGTTATCTCATGCTCTCTGAAATGCTACATTATATCATCCACCCATTCACCTCCGGACGCTCCTAATTCTTGCAGGAATGGCTCCAGATTGCCTTTGGAAATGTATCCGCGCAGGGCCAGATGTAAAACTAGCCCCCCATTCATTTCAGCTCTCTCCACATCTGTGAGACCACCTACCACCACTTATTCACAACCCCTCCGCCACCAGCCAGCTTCTGCCATCTTGTACCTTCCTGGCTGAAATGTACCCAACCATTCCTGTTTCTGACACTCTGGTGACCACCCCTACCCGGACTGGGAAGCCAGGAGCTGGAGCAAGGTTTTTGGGAGACAGTTAAGGAGCAGCATCTCTGCCACAGCCCTTTTGTGCCGGCATCCTAGGGGACCACAGCCAGAGAATGAAGGCTGGTTCTCTGGCTGTTAGATCAGTGATGTTCTGGAGAGTTGAGCCCCCAGTGGCTGCATAAATTGCATAGGAGGAAAGCAATTGCTGATCTGTTGTCCTTTAATGTAATGCTTGGTTGGTTTACATACAGTCACTTACGGCTGTCGTTTTTTGAGGCGTCCTCAAAATGAGCAGGATTTGCTCCTATTGCCTGCAGGTTGCCTTGTAAGTGCCAAGCAACACGTCAACTCTAATGGGTTTTCTGCGCTAACCAAGCAGCCAGCACATTTACCGCATGATGCTTTTCAAAGCTATTTCCCTGGTGAGACAGCTGTAGCTGGACATGCGTTTGTGCTATCTCTGGAAATACAGACGATGAGTCAAGCCCTCAGCAGCTGTCAATTGGTGTAACTCCACTGACGTCACCAACGGAGGGTCCGGCCCAATATATTGGCAGGAGAAGTTTTATATAGTGTGGAAAAAAATATGTTTGGTGCCTTACTAGCCACCACGAAAGATACATTCTCTTCCACTCACAATATTGTCTTGGCCCCACCACTGGTTCACGTGCTGTCTGGTACTGAGTCACTTCCAGGGACATTCCTTGGGTTGTCTTCAATATTGTGCTATGGGCTAGGGGAAACTCTTACTCATGAGAGCAGCCCTTATCACACTCAGTTTCTGTGGCTTTCACAGGGCTACTGTGGACAGTAAAAGCCACTCTTGTGAAGTCTGGCAGTTGCTTTCCATTCCAGAAAATGCCATGTAGACCGTTCAGTTCTAGTTTCCTTTGAGGGTGTGCGGGGATCCAACTTTACACAAGAGCAACACTGGCCAGAATGTTGGTTTACAGAAATTGCTGTTGGTAATGACAGAATTGGGCTTTTCTAGTACACTTGCTCTGCGGAATGTATCCCTCAATTAAGGGGTAGTATCATTGAGTGATTAAAGCAGTTGATTGCAAACCACGTCCCATTCGAGGTTCTACCACTCACATATCTCCCAGGGTTGTGAGGCTAAATACATCACTTTCTTGAAAGCGCATTCAAACCCGTGGGTTCAGTGTGCTAGTCAACTGCACCATGCTTTTATTAAACTAACAACAAAATGAAGTCAACGTACAGGAAGTCAACTTACCAACCACACATTTTATGTGACCCTTATTTGCTAATTTACCCCCCTTTGACTTTTTGATACTTAAATATTGGTAGCATTGAAAACCAAGGGACCAGTCTGGCAATCCTGGCTCTCATTATTTGTCCTATTGACCTCAGTGCAACTGTTGTCCTTGTGTGAGTAAAGGTCCTCCAGTTGCTTATTTTAATATAAAATTTAGATACAACTTGATTCTATTTTGATGAGGATTAAAATCCATTTTCTATTCAAAATATTCGCTTGTGCCTTAGAATCTCAGTATTTTAGCTTTTGATTCAGGAGCTAAACTAATTCCTCCCATGGTATTTAAATCAACAAGCAAATCTCTATTTGTTCGTAACTTATTTTAAAATAATAAGGCAGGCTTTCCGTGCATAGAATCAACAGTTTAAATGCTTGCATTGGAGGGAACATAAATTAATTAATGTTTAACCCAGTGCAATAATTCTCACGAATTAAACCCCAGGAGTTTGATGCTGTTTCCATTGAAGCCACTGGAGGTTTTGTCAGGTTCAGCAAGAGCAGGATCCAGGCTACTGTTGTTCCGTAGCAATGTAATTTGCTGCTTAGGTATATTTTAAATAAAAGCAGAAAAGTTGTTCCTGGTAAAAATAAGTCCTCCTTTCTTTTCTTTTCTTTTTTTTTTTTTTATAAGCAAACCATTAGCCAGCTCTAGCCCAAACTGTATAGGATGATGTTGAAGAAAAGTACAGATAGGGTGATGTTTTGTACAGTTAAGGTTACTGTTGTACAGAGTGTAGACAATTCATTGCTTAATTCCCTTTCCTTAACATGAAATGTTTTTGTGTGTGTGTTTGCTGAATACCATGCTCAAAATAATTAGACAATGTGACCATAGGATTAATCCTCAAGCTAGCTGAACATTTCTTATATATTTCAAAGCAACTACACAATGTGAGTACAGAGTGCAATTCTATTGCATGACTTTTAGTGCTGTAGAATTGAGTGCCTTTTACAACATTAAAAAACCAAGAGCTTTTTAATCCTAAAATTGATTTTTAACCCTAATGAATTAAAAATGAGCGATTAAGTCATCCTCTCTGTTTAATATCTTTCGTTGATATTTATAGATCACATGCTTCTTGGAGCAAAAGCCTTATTTTCCTCTGTTATTTACTATACACCACTGGGGTGGAATTCACCCCCTTTAGAGTTCTAGCAGGAAGTCTATGCAGCACTTAAGTCCCAACTAAACCCTCAAAATAGAGTTTAAATGAAACTTAATTGGTGCCTAGACCTTTGCCAGCCCTCTGATCAGGGATGAATTTCACCCTTCTCATTTAACAAATAAATTATAGAGCTGAGTGAATAATTCAGAATGAATAATTTATCCAGTTTATCCAATTTTTCCTGCAGTTTTGTCAGTTTTATTCCGCACAATGTTTTAACTCTATGGTTTCCCACAGATTGTTCTTTAAGTATTTACTGTTTGAGGTCACTTTCAGTAGCTGGGACTGGCCAGATTAAGTCACAAGGCATTGCTTCTGTTCCATGATTGGTGAAAATACATGCACGTGCAAATTTAAGAGTATGCTTTGGGCAAATGTTGCAGCATGTGACTTTGAAATTTGCTCTTTGCAACCACTTACGCTAATTAAATTTAATGACACGAATGTTCACATATAGCAAACACAAAATGATGATAAGAATTTAAGATAATATTCCTGAAATATTTTTATTTGCAATATTCATTTAGTTCTCACACAAAAACAGATGACATTTCCTCTAGAAACTGCATCAGCAGTTGAGTTTGGATTTACCATGACACCAAGAGCACTAATTAAAAAAAGAAGTCTTTCTTCCTTAGTTGGCTTACTACTTTTCCACTGTAAGAAAGTTAATCATGATGCCAAACTTAAGGAACATCTGTCTTTTACTGTTCCTTTCAAAAATTATATATTCCCCAAGGGCCCAATCCTGCTCTCATTGACTTAATCAAGAACAGGTTCAATATTAAAGTGTGATTTTTGGTTACACATTGTTCCTATTGTGATAAAATTGATGGTTTATGGTGGTCTAGTAAATAGGGGCCTGGACTGGGATTACTCAAGAGATTTGGGTTCAGTCTCTGGCTGACCTATATGCTTACTATGTGACCTTGGGCAAGTCATTTAATCTACCCCATTCCTCCATTCCCCATCTGTAAAATGGGGCTAGTCTTTCCCTAACACACTAGGTTGTGAGTTTCAAAAGCAAATCAAGCAGTTAGTGCAAGGGAGTAGGAATTGGAAGTTCTGGATTCTGGCTTTGAGTCACTTACCCTTGTGCCTCTGCTATTACTGGTCCCAATTTAAAGGGACCAGTTCTTATCAAACTGAATAGAAATTGGGACACTAGCTGCTGTACACTACGGGGGAAATTTGCTGTAATGCTAACTGCCAAGGGCCAGCAGGCCCAGATACCACTTAAATTCTGGTTCAGCCCTTGAAATGGGGTTTGGTTAAGTGAGACTTAACTGGTCCAGAAGCACTGGCTGCTGGCCCTTTGTGTAGGGGTGAATTTTACCCACTGTAAATATCCATCTTGTATTAACATATTTGTTTTATTTTTTTATCCGAAGGCGGGTTTTTTTCATTATGTGAATGTAACCGATGCCAGCTGCACATTTTAAACCCAATCTGTGTCTTTAGAAATGTGTGATAATATAAACGGCAATTAATTTAACACTTAATATTTAGATGTTTATGATTTGTGTGTATGTGTGTGATTGAAAAGAGGTTCTAATTATATGTAAGAGTCAATTTTATTCGCATCAATAAGTTATGTCTAATAAAACCTGAAATAACCCTTGGGTGCTGTAAATCTCTCTCCTCCCAGTTCCCCATGAACCATCATTTATATACTGTAGGTTAAAATTCACCCCTGTGACAGAACAGTGACTATGCACTTAAGGCCAATTTAAGTGGCACAGAAGCCTCATGCTGGCCCACAGTAAGTGCTGACTCACAGTCAGTGAATTTGTGCTCCTGCACAATATGTGCACAAAAAATTGTGCTCACCCACAAGAATTGTGACAATTATAAGTACACTTATTTAAGATCTAGCTCTGCAACCTTCCATTGACATTATTATAATAAAAATAGAGATCTCTGTGTAAGAAAACCACCAGGCGAAGGGATTATTGAAAGACTCTCCTGATATACTTCAGCTACATAAGGATATGGTGTTCGTTGATATCATGTTTATGGTCCACACCTACAGCACCCAACCTCCAGATACAGCTCCCACTGAAGTAAGCGGGAGTTTTGCCATCACCTTGGGTGAAAACAGAATCAGGCCTTTCACTATGAATTTTGGGTGATCAGTGAATGCAAGATTGGGCCACAGATCTAGGCTGGAGAAAGGTTCCACATTGCATCAGTGTGAATTGGCATGGTCTCTGCCCAGTTCCCACTGGGAAAGCATCCACTTTACGAAGCTATGGCTACTCCCACAGGTACCTTTGCTGGCAGTCTGATAAGATAGGCCAACGATTGACTGGTTCATAGTGGCTAAACTAGTCTCATAGTCCTTGGAGAGCTGTGCTCAGATGCATCATTTGAACAATGTACTGCCTATCCCATGCTGCACCTGCCTTAAGAGAGGACATCAGCCTCTAGCAACCTTCAAGCCAGTATTTTCCAGGACATTCTCTAAAATGACTTCACTTCATTTTTAATCCAGATAATTTATTTCCATGGAGACAAAATTCCTCATTCTACGCAGAGAGATACATCCTCATTATTTTCAATCTTTACATTGATCACAAAATGATGGATCACAAATGGAATTAAGGTATCATTTACGGGGCTGGAGCTGAGAGATAGAAAGCTTGAGTCAAAAATGCAAATCTTATGTAAGTCAATTATATTTGACACCAGAAGTAGAGCGGTGTCACTTATTAACTCCTTCATCTGGCACTGCACTGGTTTATCAGTAACCATGCACCTGCTGGGACCAAAGAGAGATTCACTTTTCACTGGAATGTGAACTTCTTTATTGTTCATCAAGAAGATACATATTGAGCCCTCAGCTTTAACCCCTCGTGCCTTCTAGAAGTCACATTTGAGTTTTAAACAGATATCTCAGACAAATCTTGGACTGCAGCCAGATACATATCCTCCAGCCATAGGCCTTGAACAGCTTAGGAATCATTTATAGGATGAGGTGTGATTCACCTAAGACTCCATCCCCCAAGTCATTCATCTGGTTTGTTCGCTGTGCATAATTTAACTATGTCATTAATAAACATTTCAATGCAGTGTTTGCAACCCCAACATATCAGCATTGTGCCAGGGCATGAGAACCAGAGTATAAGATTAAATAGGGAATGAATTTCCATGGGATTTAGGCTTCTTTGAAAATCCCACTTGTAGACAATAAAAGGGCTGTTTAATAAGAGCAACAGAGATTCCAACAGCCGCTTTTGAACTGAGCATCAGGTGAAAAACACACTGGCTAGTACCATTCACTTAGTAAGAGTGATATTTTCTGTGTGTATAGCACCTTCCCTGTGATGATTGCTAAATGATCTCTGAACTTTAATGAATTTAGATTCACAACACCTGTGTGAAAATAGGTCAGTACATCATCTCCATTTTAATGATAGGGAAACTGAGGCACAGAGGGATCATGACTTGCCCATGGTCACTCAGTGGGCTCATCAGCAGAAATAGGAATCCAACCCAGGCCTCATGACTTCCAGTTATGTGGCTTAAAGAAAAGGCCATCCTTCCACCCCATTTCCTGAGTGACTTTGGAGCCCTCCTTCCCCTTATTTAAAAACATGCTGATTTGAAGTAGATAGCTCATTGCTCTGGCCAAGGTGCTGAAACCAGAAGCTGGCTTGATCATTAAACACTCCTGCACATTGGAAACTTTGGTGTCGGGAGGAGCCTCACTACAGTTGTTAGGAATCACAGTTTCAAATGCACTTTAAAACATAGATTCATAGATTCATAGATACTAAGGTCTGAAGGGCCCATTATGATCATCTAATCCGACCTCCTGCACAACGCAGGCCACAGAATCTCACCCACCCACTCCTGCGAAAAACCTCTCACCTATGTCTGAGCTATTGAAGTCCTCAAATTGTGGTTTAAAGACTTCAAAGAGCAGAGAATCCTCCAGCAAGTGACCTGTGCCCCATGCTATAGAGGAAGGCGAAAAAGGCCATTGGGGCTATTTACCATGAATATTTAAAGAACATCATCACAGCACTTCATCATTTGGCTTCGGCTAGTTAGCATATTGCCGGGAAACAGAAGGGGATGCAGCGAGACAAGCAAATAGGCACCAGCCAATTCCAAGCAGCCTAGATGTTTTCTCTTAAAATTTCCTACTGCTGCTGCCACAAATGCAGCAGGATCAGTGGGCGCCCTAGCATAGATCAGCGCCCGGTGCTTTAACCACCATGTCACCTGGAGCGTCTCTGAGCACCATTACATGGCAGGGAGAGAGCGCCCTGTCTACACCAGCTCTGCCAGAGCTGCACTAGTGGGGGCTTTGTTGTGTCACTCTAAGGAAAAGAATGTCTAGTGTGGGTACAATCAATACGCCTTAGCCCAGCAGTCCTTAATTCCCACTAGTGTGTCTTGAGCCTGGCCTCCCGGGAACAGAGGGTCAGTGTCCAGGCCAAGGGCACATCATTTGTGGGAGGGTTCGTTGTCCTCTCCCAGAGCCTGACCTAGAGTGCACTGAAGTCAATGGAAAGGCTCCCACAAGCTGCAGTGCTCTTAGGCTCAGACCCATCTAACCAGCCCATGGCCGGTCCTCTGTGACTGATGTGGCAGTGGGCATTACCCCTGCTAAACCCTGAGGGTCACTCCGCAAGCAATGGCAGTATTTACTGGAAAGCGACTCTCCTCAGTGCTACCATCCCCTAGGTTATCCTGTGAGCAAAGAGCTAGTCTTTATTGCCTGCCAGGAGAGGCCAGCCTGGGAAATCCCTGTGATCTGTGAAGCATTTTAGATCTTTGATTTCACAGCCCCCATTTATCTTATCAGGCATGGACTCCACAGGACACAATCACGTCATTGATACCAGTGACTTATTGCGCTGTTATTCATTATTTGTCTGAGGGCAGCACCCAGAACGTCCAGCCAGGGCCCCATTGTACTAGGCCTGATACACACATAACGAAAGAGCTTACAATCTACTAAGGACTGGCAAACCCTCGAAAGGTTTGGCTGGTTCATGGTTAGATTCTGTTCACAGTTGCACCAGTAAGAATCTGGAGAAACCAGTTGGCTACAGCAGAGTCCCTCCAGAGTGACAGTGGTGGAAACGAGATCAGAATCTTGAGCTCAGTTTGAATGATGCTTTGAGGCGTCACTGCACAGTATCCGATTCCCTGGACCTGGAATCACAGGAGAACCAGCCTACTCATGAGATTTCCAGCAGTACTAATAGGATGGAAATACGGCGAGAATAGCCTTTCTGCTGGTATCTTAGTCCTCTTCCTCTCAGCCCACTTGATACCCAGCATTGCAAGGATACCTGAAAATTAAGCCTAACTTTTATGAGTCTTCCAAAAGTTCTCCACATTCATTCTGCATTTCAAGCAAAGGCTCCTGTTGCTTCTTTTCCCATCTATGCTGACCTGCTTTACCATGGGATGTGCATAATCCCAGCTGAGGTGTAACTCTGCACAGATATCCACATACACAGCCAACCGTCCCTGAGTCAGATTCTGAGCCAACTGACCATGGTGCAAATCCAGAGTTGCTCCCCTTCGTTGTAGCCAGTGAAGTTACTCTGGACTAACACCGCTGTCAATCTGATCAGAATTTGGCCCAAAGAGACTTGTGCATATGTACTTGTGTGTAGGGTTACGCCTTGCTGTGATGGGGTGTATACCAACACACCCCACGAGAAGAGGCAGACCTCCCAGGGCCACAGCAGCTGTCGCAAGGGGCTCCAGATCTGGGACAGCCAGCCATGCCCTGCCCTGCCATGAGGAGGCACCAGCAGTGAGTTCACCCTTCTACTCTCACTTAGTCAGAATTAGAATGAACTCTGGTCGAGCAAGTCAGAGTGAAGTGGTCCCTCCTTGCACCAAAGAGGAGCATGAATCATTAAGCCTTCCCATGGTCATTTAATATCCCGGTTAATCCCTGAGTCCTGGCCTAATTCTATTATGGATAGTTCTGTTCTGCCTCCCTAAATGCCCCTGGACACTTCAGATTGATAATCTGCATTACACAACACTTTACTCAACAGACGCCTTACTCTTCTGTGGAACAGTTGCAATGTTCCTCCACAGAGAGGGTTGCATTTCTGTGGTAGTGAATTAATGTATTTAAAGGGACAGATTTTGCTCTCAGTTACCCTGGCACAAGCCCACTGAGCTTAATGGGATTTAGCACCACAACTGAGAGCAGAATTGTGCACAAATTGCTTTGGGATCCTTTTGAGGGACATGAAATCCTTTTTATTACCTTTGTGGCCCATTATAGTCACTTCAGAGGAGCGTGAACATTTGCTGCCTATCTGTTAGCCATTTAATTACCAAGCTCTTGCTATTATGTAAATATTTAACTACAATGGAGGAGAGTAAATCAGTGTAAAGTGATCCTGTTCCATTCCACTGGGAACAGTAAATCACATGCTGTCCAGACTGCTGGGCTACACTGGCAGAGCAGATCGACGGGAAACCAGTGGTGGCAAACTTCTAATGTTAGGATCTGTGCTGATACCATGCTAACGGCAGTGCCTGGTCGGTACCATTAGGCAAGATGTTTAGCTGGAAAGCTACTGCCAGGGCACCTCAGACATCTGCGGAGGGCGGGTAGCAGTGATGGAGTC